CTTCTACTTATCCTCTTCTTTAATGCAAAGCCTATAGTAGGCGTTATAAAGGTTAAGCTTTATAAAGACTTTAGCCTTTAATAAGTAATCTAATATTTTACTTATAAGTAAAATAAGATATTAGTTTTTAATTATAATTTTATTAAAACCTTAATAGTTAATATAAAGTTGCAGTGTCCTATCTAGTTTTAGGACAAAGAGAATAGAAGCACCTGCTAGCAACCTGCTTAGGCGTATCTAACCCTTCTTCTAGGCTGCATTAAGGTATTCCTGCAAGATATCTAGTTTATAGCAGAAGAGGTTATAGATTAAAAAGTTTAAAATCTTCTTTTTTTTCTTAATTTTTATAGCATAATTATGCTTACTATTTAGCTTAAAGATGTTTATATAATATTTACTAAAAGTGTACTACTAAGAGTAGAACTTAGAGGAAATATATGTAAGTTCCTTAGAGTCTAGAGCGTTGTTAGCATTATTAGTGCCTAGATACTTATTACTATTGTTAGAAAGTACCTAGGCAACGCCTGTAGGCAGTGTAGCCTAGTAGTAGCCTTAATTATAGATACTAGCTACTATATAATAAGCTATAGCTTTAAAAAGCTATAAAAGCTTTAAAAATATTTTAACATACTTTTAAAAATACTTTTAAATCTTAAGCATGTACTTCTTTAACTAGAGTAGCTCTTAATAATAAAAGTACTCTACATCCTGCACTATGTTGCTACTAGGCCTAGGGGCTTGCAGAGCAGGTTTAGGGTGTCCCTAAAGCAGTTCCTCTAAGAGGGCTTTCTTCCTAACATTATTGCTTATTAGTTAAATAGTATAAGAGGTAGAGTGCAGCATGTATGTAGTTTTTTTAAAACTAAAGTTTTTTAGAAGCTTCTTAGTAAATACTAACTAAATTCTACTATTATTATTCTTTTACTACTTAAATGTACTATTTTTAAAATAAATTTTAGGGTTAGCTTTTTATAGCTAAGAATACTTTAAGATTAAGTTATAACTTAAAAAATTAGCTAACTAGAATTTTTAAAAGCTAACTTCTTTATTAGTACATTTATTATCTATGCAGACAAGGGAAAGATTATATAGTAATTCTAACTATAATTAGTAATTATTAATAAAGCTTATGTTAGGCTTTTTATAGTAGTGCTTACATAAAAGGCTATATTTCTAAATAACACTAGCGTTTATTAAGTTTAATTTAGCACCTATGTTATAAAGGCTATAAAGAATAGTTATTCTACTATTAAAAAGTTTAAGCTGCACCTAAACTATAATATAAAGCTACTTACTATTTAATTTAGGCTCTAGTTATAAGTGTGTAAGATTTACAACTAGAGCTTTTTTTTTTTATACTATTATTATTTTTTTAGTTAAATTAGTTTTTTTAGTAGAGCTTATGTTTACTAGAGGTCTTTTAAAGTGTTATTGTAGTAGTATTAGTTCTTTATACTAAAGACTATTAGTTGCTTATTAATTAGCCTATAAGCTTCTAGTCTTATCTTTTATCTTTCTACTACTATTAAGAGTTTAAGGTAGAGCAGAACTGCTTTTTTTTCTAAGTTAAAGCGTCTTTAGAGCTAGCCTAAGGCATTATTAAAGCTTACTTAGAGTAAGCAACAGTTTTAGTGTTGCGTACAGCGCACTTAAACTCTAGCTAAGTGTTTATAGACTTAAGTAAGCTATTATGCTACATTTCTTTTTAAATAAATTTTAAAAAGCAGCTTTATATAAAAATAATTTTAATCTTATAAAGTTTCTCTTTATTAGAGGTTTAGAAAGAAGTGTTTTTTAAAAAACTTTTTTACTAAAATAGCTAAGTAATAAAAGTGTTAAATATATTACTTACTTTCTACTTTATATTTTAAAAGTAATAGTAGTTTTTATACTATGTTAAAAGAGGATCTTAGGTAAGCTTACATACTTTAGTTTAAAGCTAAGCCTAGGTTTTAATAATGCCTTTATTAATAGTGTAACTAATTAAGTTTTTATAGACTTTAAACTAGATCTAGTTAATAATTTATTAAGTTTAATTAGTAAAGTTATCTAAAAAGTCTATGTATTTTTAGATACTATTTATATCTCTTACTTAAGTGTCTACCTACTATAGAGTTAAAGACTTCTTTAAAAAGCTAAGCTTTAAAAAGGCTTTAATTTTAAATAGCTAACTTAAAGTCTTATCTAGGCTAGCTTAGAATTAAAGTTAATCTAAAGTAGTTTTAAAAAATAAGCTAAAAGTTATAAAAGTAATCTAGGCTTATTTATAAGCTTAACTAATTTTAGCTTTTAAAGCTTCTTTAGCTTTAAGCTAAAAAGCTTTTATAAAAAGTAATTATATAAATGCTTTATTAGTTAAGAGTTGCACTAAAACAGCAGTAGAGCTAGTTTAGGCCTGCCCTAGAAGAGTACTGCAGCGTATTATGTTTGCCTCTGTTACTAATAGTTGCTGTAAGTAGCCTATAAAGAGCTAACTAGTAGTCCCTAGAGTTCTAAAACCTAGAGGGCTTAGTGTAATAAAAAAGTTATTTAATTTTTATTTAGTATAACTTAAAAAGTTTTTAAGTTTAGTTTAACTATATTTTTAATAGTTTTTAAAGTCTTACTTATTTTTTTAACTTAAAAACTTAGTATTTTTTATTTTTTACTTTTTATACTTGCTAATCTAGTAGAATTTAGTTAAGGCGCTAAGATGTAAGGTGCTTAAGAAGTTAAGTACTAGAGTTATTATAAGGCGTCTCTAGAACAGCCTTAGAAGGGGTAGTAGCTGTAGCCCTACTTTTATGTGTGTAACTACTGTTAGCTATTATTATTATAGCTCTTTAATTAAAGTAAAGCTTAAAAAGTAGTAGTAAAAGTAGCCTTTTATTTTTTAAACTAACTATGTTTCTATAAAAAAGTATAAAGAATTTAAATTATAAGAGCACTATAAAGCAGAAAGCGTAAAGCGCAGAAGGGGGTATAGAATAGTATTAATAGATAAATCCTTAAGGAGACTTAGGGGTTTGTAAGAGGATATATATATATGTGCTGGGGCACGTGACGGGACGTCATGTGCCCAAGGCTGGGCCGAGGGCTCTCCGGGGAGAGTCCGAGGCATGTCCAAGTTGACCGTGACAGGCGCCTACCTCATTACATCGCCCATGAAGTACGTTATAGTTTTATTATAGTTGTAAAAAAAAGCAAATAAAGTAAAAATTCTATAAAACCTAGATAAAAAGAACTAAAAATAAGAATTCTTTTAAATATATAGCATAAAGAAAGACAAATTAATACTTAAAAGGTATAGTAACAGTTAATAGAGCTCTTATGTATGTAATGAGGTAGGCGCCCCGTCTGCCAAGCCGATACTATACGACTTTCCCCACTGTACCAAAAGGTACGCACGAGAATACTTAAGCTAAGTATTCTCGCATAGTATAATATATATATAGGTAATGCTAGGGTAAGCACTAGCACTAGCGGTTGTCTCTAGCCTAGCCTAAACCTCTATGAGCGAGAGAAGGCCACGTGGTTGACCGTGCCGACCTCGTTACACTACCCCCCCCTTAACAGTCTTAGTCCCTAAGACTTTAACGCTGAGGATATATATCTGCTCTACCCTAACTATAGCCTCGCTATAATTTAAGCCAGAGTGATCGCTGGGACTCGAACTCTCGACCTTTGGGTAGCTTAAGTATTATTAATAAGGCCGTCACCGGCAAAAGCGAGTTTTCTGATATAATGTAACGGCACAGGCAAGACAATGGGTCCGAATGCGGTAGGAACCCACTCAGAGGCATATGGGAGTGCGTGGGGACTCAACGGCCTGGGAATTCCATTGACACCTATAGGCCTCGTACGAAAGGATTCCTACCGCATTCGGACCCATTGTCTTGCCTGCGCCGTTACATTATATCAGGAAACTCGCTTTTGCCGGTGACGGCCTCGTTATAATATCGCAGCGATTGTTTGTTTGACTACGGGCGACCCGAGATGGAACGATTCATGAGAGTCGTTACAATATAAAAATAAGTTACAAACGTATTTAAAACATATTAAGACTAGGTCTTAATACAAAAGTAATTTAGCAGCTACCTAAGTAGGTAGAAGGAGATTAAAGCTAATGCGCTAACTTTAAAGAACCTTAGCTAACTTTTATGTTCTTGCAAAATTTTTTTACAGGGTTTGTGCATTAGCATTACAGGGTCAGCTAAGCTATTAGAGTCGTCGGGGTCAGCTGTAACCTCCCCTGTACTATTGCATGCTGAGTGATTCCTTGTATACGGTGGCCCTGGGAATGCATTTCACAACAAAATTGGATACGAAATCTCCTTTCGCTCATCGTAGCCGCCATTCAGATCCCGCGCCGTTGTTCGCTTCAGAGAGTCTTTCACCATAAGAAGTGTGAGCTCTTAATGCGGAGAGCGAGAGAAGAAAGCATCTGAAAATACCAAGGGGAACGAAGAATTAGAGCATTGATCGGCGCTGCGATTGTAGGTTACCTCCTTATTGCCGTGTGGACATGGGAGATCGTTCGGGTTCACAACTACGACCGTTCCAACTCATCAACCCAGCTCCTTACTAGACTGACGAAAACTTTGTTGCTATCTTCTTCATGTTCTCCCTACATCGGTTCTCGAACAGTCTCTAGCGTTAAATAATCTTTAACGGCCTAAGATATTTCTCGAACTCGCCGCGGAAGCCGCCAGCTATGCTGTAGTCATCCTGAGCCCTCTGCAGAACGCGAGAATTGACGCAGTTTATGGCATTTTCTGGATTTCCTTGGAGCTGTAGAAGCAATCGGCTTTGGTTTCGACCTAACTGTTGTGCCGTGCATGATGGAGGCTAGGGTGTTGTGATTCCTAAGCATGTACTCCAGGAGGTGAAGTCACAAGGCATTGTTCCAGACAGTGACGAGTCGGAAAGGACCTTGATTCAAAGAGAGAACGCAAATGATAGCGAAAGCAGGTTGGAACGGTGTAGGCGGGAGTCCAATCAATATTTAGATGTGTTCAGAAGAAAACTATAAATAGATAGAAGTAGTTAAGTCGTCGAGCTGCGCAACTAAGTTGGAGTTGTCATGGAGAAATGAAAATAATGGAGCAAATGAAAGCCACTAGCCAACGGTACTGAAGTCAACCTTGAAACCGTAAAATCTGTGGGTCATATGCCCTATGCTTATTTCTCACCAAAGGCTTGCCGGACACCTTCTTCCGTTGCCCAAAGTATGATCAGATTTAGACATATAACACATGTGCGTATCGCATCTACCCTGCGTATGCGCCAAAGAGCAAAACAATCTTTCAATTCAATGTCTCCGGCATTAAATCCATACCAAAGTTGAATTCCGCGTTCCAATCGTTGGGTACATATGCATACGCTCCGAGGGATTCTGTGGTATCCGCCGTAGTAGAGGGGTTGAGAACATTCCAGAAATTGAAAGCCTCATCAAGATTCGTAGGGTAATTATACAGTTCTCCAACTATATCCCCGAATGGCCCAGTCTGTGGCGGGACATTGTTTGCTTTCTGAACAAGGAAATCCAGGTATTCTTTCTTCGTTGGGGCAAGAAGTCGTTCATATTCCTCTAAGCACCGAGTTGCGGCCGGCCATCGTTCGGCAATGGTTGAAAAGAATCTTGAAAATATTGCCATCCATTCTTGGACTTGCTCGAAAGGATAAAGGTCCGATATCTCGGCTTTACAGCGTGCCAACGCTTGGAGGAAGACCACGGCGGAGGAAAAAGAGTGATGGCAAGGGTGAAAGACATACTTAATGTTTCCAAAACTGGCATTGGATTGCTCACAGTATCCGTCTGCGACTTCAACTGCCGCCACAAATGCTTTTAGTAGATTTTCCTTTGTTGGGTTGGGTATCCGCGGCGATGGCCGGAAAAGAGTCACTAAGATGTAAGGGTATGCGATATTAGCGTAGAGTAACATTTCTTTCCATCTCGATGCGAACCCTGGATCAGAGTTCGCGGCTCCAGCTCGGAGAACCTCGCTATGCCATTCAAGTATCGAAGCCTCAATTCTTTGCATCCACTGCTCCAGAGAGCTACAGTCTTTCGGGAAAGGTTCCTGTTGGTGGAGAACGGAGACTATTTCCGCCTCAATCTGACGGAACTGCCAGATCCGTCTAGAGGTGAATTTAGAGACTCGCCCTGTGAGATCTATACCCGCCTCAGTGACGGCCATATCGTCGACCTCGACAGGAAATGCAACATTGATAGATCTAGTCGGTAGCGTGATTGGACGGAGAAAGGCACAACCAACACTGACTTCCATTTCCCAAGCGCACCAAAAGAGGCGCCGTCGCATGTCCCGTTGATAAGGGGTGACTTGGGCATCGTTCGGTAACTCTTGGTGGAGGCCGAGGTCGATGACCGCCTGACTAATAAGGCCGGTTAGGAGCCACAGATTCGCCATGCTTGGGTTTAGGAACGTGTATTGCGTCAAGAGAAGCATGGCCTGGAGCCCAGCCAAATCGTTTGTAGCAACGACAGGAATGTATTGCATCGCGTGTCGAACTAGGGAAAAGGCTATCGAGTTAGCCCGCCGTTGTTTCGTTCTGGCAGCTGTAGAGAGGGAAATAGCCATGATGATGCTGATGATATATCTATTACGGGGAGAGTCTGCGCCTGGCTGAGATGCAGGGTGATAGATAGAATTGAAAGCAGAAATTACATCGTTCCGATGACAGATAGGATATTGAGTGATGACCCGGTCAAGGAAGTTGTGGAACAGCTGGACGGCGGTTTTGCTTTCAATGACATCCAAGCCGCTTGTAGCTGGTTGTGGGTTGATAATGGATCTCGGGTGGTTTTCATTGAGATCAGTGGCTCCAACAGGCCCCTTCCTAGACGGGATCTGTGTCCCCTTTACCACGCATCGTAATATTGGAGTGGCCTTTGAGATGCCAAGAAACGAGGGAGTGACATCTTCCATGGCCTGGTTCACAAGACTGTCGGTGTAAGTACATCCGTCTGGAGCCCAATGCCCATCGGAATCATGCGAAGCAGCGGGCGAGGGAAAGGAGGCGTTCAGCCGGGGTAGCCGTCTTAAAGGAGAGCTTCTTGGGTCCTCAAGCTTGGCAATGTGCATTTCCAAAAAGTCCGCAATGCTGCGGGGTGCTTCACGCTGCGTCGACGAGTCGAAGCCAACGCAGGCGACACCTGCGTCAACACATCTCGAGCACGCAGGCACCTTGCCGTCACACTGAGCACAAGCACGGGTCAGTGAATTACACACCATGAAGCGAGGCGTGACTGGCGGCTCACCGAGAGCTTTCGCTTTCTGCACCGTGCACAGGCGAGCACACGGCGGCGAACTTTTGTGCGGTTTTGCATCGCGACACACAGCGATCAGCGGTCTGCGGGCGCCCGTCGTGGGTGCAATGTTCATGGCCATGCGGATGATGGAGGAAGCTTCAGGTCTGAATGCGAAGGCTGATGGCAATCCAATCCATGCTGTCACAACGATCCGACCGCGCCTGTGTGGTCGGGCCGTTTCACCGGATTGGGCAGGGACGCGCTCGATAAGACCCTCAAGCGCCGACAGCGCCACCCTCCGCCGATTCTTCCCTCAACCTTCTCGCCCTTCACGCATTGCCTTCGGTGACGATGGCGAGCCATGTCGACCGCCCTCAGCAATCCATCAACCGGAATCGATCTTGATGCTCTCATAGCAGCTCTTCCGGCGTGCAAAAGATGCCGAGACTGTCGGCGTGGATGTGACACTACGCTGCCTAAATGCCGACAATGTACCAAAGCTGGACAGGACTGCATCTTCTTCGACCATGGCCGCAATGAGTTTCTTCCCCGAAGGCAGTCCACTATTGACTTTAGTTGGTACTCAAAGCTGACATTCACAGCTACATTGCGGCTTTGGTTGATCACGTGCGCAATATATCTTCCCGTGCAAATCCTGCCCCAGTTACTCCTGGGGAGACTCCCCGAGAAACCAATGCGGCGCCATCAGCACACGCCGAGTCAGTCACCTCTGATCTTTATCCATATGTGCATCACTTTGCGTACGCAGGTGGGAGCTATCGCTACCTCGGAGCTCAATCATGTCTCGTGTCATCCCCGAGGTTGCAACAGGCCATCCCCGGACCACCCGGAGATCTGGATAACGATGATGTAGAAATGGTTTGGAAAAATCCCATGAACTACAATGAACTTGTTCAAACCTATCTCAAGATTGTGCATCCTTTGTACCCGATCTTGGATCCTAATTCTCGCTTTCTTGTTCCAGATGTTGACCTTACGACCCTCACTGCTTCGGAAATCTTTGCTCTTTATATGATCTATTCAATCGGTTGTCATGTGGTTCCTGGAAAGACCCCAAGATATCCCTATTCCGGTAAACTATCCTTCCAGCATGCAACATCTCAAAAGTATCAATATTTCGGGGCCGAGTGCTTCCAACATGCCATGGCCAACTTGGACGCCTCGACTGTGGAACCAACAATTGACACGCTACGCGCTGTCCTCTTACTCGCTATCAATAGCCTATTCGACCCGAAAAGCGGAAACATCGGACAACAAGTGGCACTGGCAACCAGGCTTTGTCTTGATTTAGAGCTGCAGGATTTGGGGGTCGAAGATACAGCATTGGTCGAAAACATGCATTCGACTATCTTCAGTATGGAAAATGAGATCGCTTCGGTGCTCGACCGACCTGCCACATTCCCAGAGCCAGTAAGATATCGCCGCGTATTCACAAACTGAATAACTGACAACCAATAACAGTCGTGGGAGCTTTCTTTTAGCCCCAACAACCCGTCTCGCTACCTTTGCTCTCTCTACCGCCTCCAATATCGTTTTCGCAAAGGCGACCACTCTGTCCGAGCTCTCCTCCCTCCCGCAGTCGATCCTGCCACCCATGGAGTTGATTCGCGCCTTGGCCCATGTCTACGTCTCGCTCTTCACCAAACGTACCTACTTTTAAATCCTTGTTGGGCGACCGCCTGGCATGTCCTAGAATCTGTAGTAGCCCACGGCTGCATCCACATTTATCTCACCCCCCATTGGGTGTATCGAGCGGGGACGATTCTGATCCAAAACATGTCCACCATTGACAAGGAAAATCTCATGCAATTATACTCAAATGCGCTCGTTATGCTAGAGGTGTCACAGCAAAAATGGCAGGGTTCTGGTGCCCTTGCAACATCACTTGAGGGCCTTCTAAACCAGATGAAAACAAAAAGTGGACCTGGGCCGGACTGGGGAACTTTGGCGTTGGGGATGTTAAAATAGTATACACTCGGCTTCTTATGTTAACGAATCACGACACTTGGGTGATTTCTGCCCAGGTGCCTCTCAGTCACGAGCATTTAATGTCTCTCAAATCTTTTGTGTACCCACTTAAACAAGCATACTTCAACTTGGGCAAAATTGCCTGCCATTGTACTTCCATCTTTTACCGTCAATTTCTCTGCAAATCTTCATCTGAGCCATCAAATGAAGAGTCGGTCTCTTTTAGTATCCACCTTACCCTTTAGTTCTAGCGTCTCATTTTTCACTATCTTAATAACTACTTAGCGATACTTTATTAAATTAAAAATATATAAACTTAATATCTAATTAACACAACCTTAAGCTTTAGTAGACTACAGCTATAAAAGGAATTTAATAACTTTAGAACTAGTGTAAAGAGCTAGTTTAACTATAGCACTAATAAACTAGGAGTACATTACTTTAAATAGCTAATAGATAGACATTCTAAGCTAAGTAGATATGTTCTACAATATTAAAAACAGTTCTAGAGATATCTAGACTAAAATAGAGCTAACCTACTCTACCTCGCTCTACTAGCTCTATTGTAAAGATGGGATAGTAGGTAGCACGGATAGCACTGAGAGCAAGGTCTTAGAGAGGTAGGAGTATATTGTAAGAGAGACGAATCGCTACCAAGCCTCGCTTGTTAGAATTCGTGCGTATATACGAAGCACAGGTCAGGTGAGGCCCGTTCTGGGACATCCGGCCTTACATCTATACAGTAGTGGAGACTACGCTTATTATCACACCTAGCCTATGTTTTAAGCTAATAGTTTACTGCTTTTTTTCCTTCTTAAAGTTTTTAGTAGTTAACTAATTATTGTTAAGTTCTTATTAACTATAGCTTTTATAAGTATATGTAGTTCTTTGTCGCGGTTATGTTACAGCCATCCAGCCCCTGAGTACCCTAAGGGCTTAGCACGGGGTATATAGGCTCCTCGGCCTCCGTACCTCTGCCTCCGACCCTAAGGTTTACTCTCGTTACACCCCCCTATCCTGCATTCCCTCTCTGTGACCTGTGTTTCCTGCTCGATACCTCTCACATTCTTCTAGTTATTCTTTAGGCTATTATAGTAAGCTTCACATAACTAGAGCTTTTTTATCTAGACATTTTAACTAGACATTTTAACTAGACATTTTAACTAGACATTTTAACTAGAAAAAATTTAGTGTCTTAGAGTTCGTTAGCAGACTCGACTCTCGAGATGATTTCTCGTACGAGTTCAGGGAGTAGCTCGAGGCATGAACGCACGGTTTCCCTTTGGCGACTTTTGACTACAATGCATGGCTTGATATTTACGGCTGATAATGTTGGTGCTGACATAATGAGAAGGATAAATGCCCGCGAGACATCTGCTTTGTTCCCACAATTGTGCTGGGTAACTCCTCCACTAATCTTATCTGTGATCGCTTGAGTGTGTTGCAAGTCGGAGAGTTTCTGTTTCTCCTCTGCCTTACGCCCCACGCCTCAAGGTCTAGTCTCAAATCCTCCTAGGTATTCACCTGACGTCGAATAATGTTCTATTCCATTAAATTATGTCAGCCCTAGTGTATCAGGTCGCGATCTTTATTTCAGTAATCATCAAGATAGGTGTTGGTTTAAGATTACAACACATAAGAAAGTAGTGCTAAGAAGTGAGCCATGAGATGAGCCTTTGTGTAAACGAAATCAAGGCGCTATAAGGGAGGATTTTAAAGCTTCAGATACAACTAGGGGATGTACTGTGGTTCCCTATTCCGGAGCAATCGACGAGACATTTCGTTGAGCTTTGAGCAGCTCAAGGCTTTAGATTTCTGGCCTTGAAACTTTCGCGGGGTCTTTAATATTAGTATTAGATTGTGTCTGAAGAGAAATGACCTCGTAGCTCGTGAGCAGCCGCCTGAAGAGTGGGTGGCATTAAGAGTTGACAACATGTGTTAGCACCAGAATTATAAAGACTCGGGGTATGCTCACCTAGGGCGAGAAACTCGAGTAACGGAACTGGAACATTTCATCGACTTAGTAAACTAGCAAGCCAGTAAACTAGCATTCACTCGCGTCAACATGAAATCACTCACTATTACCATCCTTCTCGCTATCGGGGCAGCCGTAGCCTCCACGCCCCACCCACTTGGTACATTTCTTTCTATCATCCACCATGTTTCCTAGTATGCTAAAACCTACATGTTCCAGAGAAATTTGGCCTCCGCGCTATGGCCGAATACGACAACATCCTCGCCCTTGAGGAAGCCGCAACGCTTGAAACCCGGGATCTCGAGAAGAGGGCAGTCTGCGACAACAACTGGAGTCCCTGTTGTGATGAAAACACGCATTGCAAGTCTCAAGATGCTTGTTTTGAAAGATGTGCTGGGAATTTAGACGCTGCGGGTTGTGTTGCTGGTAAGCCCGATCTGATTCAGCTTGTGCTTTTTCCCTAATTTGAGTGGCTAATGTGCTGTTGTAGGGTGTGCGGTGGCTTGCCCATCGAAACCACAATGCTAAATTGCTAAAATGAACGGATAACTATATGTTAGAGAGGGTTCCAGAGCGTCGGTCCGCAGGATCAAAACCAAGAATATCGAGAACAGAATGTTTGCCGAGTTTATTGTTAGGTACGATAGCCAGATTCAGTACGTTGAGAAGAATATCTGAAATTTTATCACTCTTGTGATGATATCTGGCCCTAGGCTGGCCCACTTACGACGTCTGAAGAGACACTGACGTGAATGAATGAAGCCACTGGCGGTGATTCGAAAGTGCTCGATGGCTCTCCCGATAACATAGAGATGCAACAGCCAGCAGTTAGCCGCTTTCAATAGGCCCCATACAGAAGATGCCCACCTACAAGTTCTCGATTTTCGTGGAATTCCCACGAACTCCATTTGACGCCGCGGACTGTTCCGGATATTGTAAACAATAACCTACTTCTAGCCGCATTTTGATGAGGGAGCTTTGAGTTTATTGAGGAAGAGATGAAAGCATTCTACAAACCAAGTATACGTTGAAACTGTGATAGATGGTGACTGGTATCTAGGGATAGCACTACACTACCCAAAGGTACAGGTGAGAAGAAATGACCACCGTGATATGGTAGGTGAATAACGATGAAGAATACAGAAAAGGAAAGGGCAGCAAAGCTTTTCGGCGAAAGGAGAGTCCTTGAAATGCCATGCCATAACGTCCTAGACTAGATGTAATGTAAAGAATATTGCACCCTGTTCTAGAATTCGCGAGAAGGGATAGACACTAATATACATAAAAGCCCAGTTACACAACCACCTATTCCTCGCACGAAAGCTTCGACCGCAAAAAGCACCCATAATCGCGAGAATACCAGACAGCTCCTAGTCCAAATGATAATCAACAACCACAGCAGAAAATGCTACTGTTGGCGTTATAACTTTTACCTCCATTGATAACGGCGAGGGCCGTTGTGAGACTTAAAACGAGCTTGAAGAAGCACATGTCCATCTGCAAACAGAATATAGAGGACGCCTTGCTAAAGACATCGTATGTAGATATGCTGTTTGCAAAAGCGCTCGACAGGAAACTTGGCGCTCTCGTTGCCCTGACATATCACCGATAAGAAACCCTACAATCTCCGTGCAGTGTAGGCTAGTTTCCCATCGGAGACTTTTACATGTTGTATGGATGACCGGAGATGATAAAACGGAGAAACCTAAGGCAGGCTAGACATGGATCATATTTTTGAACACTCGCACGAAAGATTGTAGTAGGGAAAAATTTTTGTGTGACACAACCTCTCGTGCGAGAATTTCTTATGAGGCCTAAAATACCGGAAAGGCAGACAACATACAATCTCCGCACAGCCCAGCTAAGCTTCCTATCGGAGGCTTTTGCTCCCTGTACGGATAATAAGAGAGGATGAAATAGAGTGATCCAAGGCAGGCTGGACATGGACCCAGGTGCCTTAGATATTCATATACTGTACGGCTACACAACGAACTCAAAACAGAAGCACGACGATCAATACTTATTCGACCTCGCCGCTCGCATCCATGCATTTTGACAGATTCTCGACAACACCGTCCTGTCATTTATAGATCCTTCGTCGTAGCCTGGATTCCAGCAGCTATCTTCATGTTCTGGAGCACTTCGAAGCTCATCACGTATTCAAAGACAGCTGATCATAGTTGCTTCATCAGCGTCTATTGAACCAAAAATTTATTATGGGGATATCATCCTGCTCTGTAACCGTTAACAACAAGTACATGTCGGCAACCTTCCAGTCTTTGGCTTCCTGAGCGACCATTCTCACTAGTACATCGAGCTATTCAAATACATCACCAAGTTTAGGGGGAAAGCCATAACGGCACAACAGGGTATGACCTTTCCAATATCTATAAAATTCCGCTGGTGGGCTCTGTTGAAATACAACTCATTTTGACGAAGGGTGACAAGGATGCCGTCGACGACGCGTCGCTCTACCCGGGCAGACGATCATTCGTGGGTCGCGAGAACGCTGTGGTGTTAGTGAGGGGAAGTATACCATACATGGGACAGCTAACTGTCGTAGTGAAAGATTGGCTGTGGATTCCGTACACTAGACTTAAGTCTAGACGCTCTACTTGCACTTGGCAGATCTATGTAGCAATACAATAACACCTAAATTTAACCATGCTTTCATCCTCCATATTCCTACTCTTCGGTTTCCTATCCTTCCAAATTCTAATATCCTAGATATATCCGGTGATTGGTTTCAAGCTCGGCTCGTCTTCTCCTAGCCCCTAGTTCTTAGGCTTATTCTATTTCTAATATTGCCAGGTGTCTGGAAGGGAGCGGCAAACTATCGTAGGGCTGATTTTGGAGGTGATGGATGATAGAGGAGGGCATATAGAGGTGCGAGCAGTCAATTAGGTGATGAGAGCCAAACTAGGCCGAATGCGATGAGATGTAACGTCTCTGAAGCGAGAGAGCGCTCTGAGGCAACTATACAGTAGATAAAAGGGTGCTATTCCTAATCAGGTAGGTGCTAGTCCTCAAAAGGAAACGAGTGTGAGTCCATGACCCACATTCACCCTGACGCGGGGTCACGTGTCACACAAACTACTCAGCGATTAAAAATTGGTTCTACTGAGTGGTGTGATGGTTTGATGTTAGACAGGGCGGACCATGAGTCAGGCTGAGCCATGGGAGGATTTTACTTACCCTCGGAGCCAGGGATCCAGTTCGAGAGGTCGTGGGTGTTACGAATGAAAAGCAGAAGGGCTGCAGCAACTAACCAACGTGGCCAAGGATATCTGTAAGCCTCAGGTACCGGTATGGTGGGAGCGCAACGGCGTGAGGGGCAGCTTAGGGGTGCGGACAGCGAAATTGAAGACCCAAAAGGAGCTCAATGGGCTCTCATTAGGTACTCAGTTTCGATATATACATTTCACAAATGGACTACATCTTTTCAACATGGAAACGGATTCGTCGACTTTCGAGAGCAATATTGAAGCACTTGAGATTTGGGCTATGTAAAACAATTCAAATATCTATATCTATGAGCTACTCATACCCGTCTTACTAGCGGGGTTATGAGGACCTCTATCTTTGCCATACTAGGGCTTTGTCAGATTGACCATGCCTGCAGGTAATCCCCACAGTTATTCAACCGGTAGTTGTAGTCCTTATCAGCTTTACCTAGGTGTTTCTAACTATTGCACGGTTAAAGCTGACGGATGGAGGGCATATAGATTTGCGAGTGGCCAATTAGGTGGTGAGAGCCAAACTAGGTAGACTGAGCGATTGTGTAAGGTCTGAGGAGCGAGAGAGAGCTCTGAGGTAGATATATGGCGTAAAAAGCCGCGCTAGTTGATGACGTAGAATTTAGTCGTATGGAGTCTCACTCGCGTTCTCTATTGACCAGTGATATGAGCTCATCTCAATTCTTGTAATCTTCGTCCCTGACGTCGTCTATGTGGCCAGTGTCATCACTAGCAGCATCACTTACGGGACTGTTCTTCCAGCCCGTATTAAGCAGAGTCGGGCTTTCGCAATTGCACCTGACACACCATCGGCATGTCGGCATCCCAGTAGCATCCATGAATCCGGTGATAGTTGCGTCATGCGGATGACTTCGCCTTCACATCGAGGGGCTTGTGGTACATATTTATCAGGCTATGGGGCTAATTTGGCTCGCTACAGTACACAATAGCTGTCACAATTGGGGAACCATTCAACCCATGATGTGTAGATCTCTTATCCGATAGATATGTTAGCGCTTAGCCTACGGTTGTTGTTAGTTTCGCTTCTAACCTTCATTCCGGAGAGGGTATTGGTGAGGAGCGAGACTAAGCTACGCTATATGCTCTAGCCCTAGACAATTAACAGGGTAAGAATGACGTTACGATTCGCAATACCATCTAAGGCTAGCCCCGTCTAAGAGTAGTCTGTGATAGGCTGCGCTCCCTCTCCTGGACTAGACTATCGCTGCGTCTAATTGAGGAATTTTCATGGAATGTCAGAAGGATACCTCACCGACCTCCCTGAGTTCGTCCTGTAGCTTTCCCTAGCCTTATCACCACTGCCATTTCCGTTCTTTTCCTGGCGCCGCTTCAGTCTGCTGGCAACATGATCAAGCTCGCCCGCGGAAGGTAACAGTATGTTCTCGACCTCGGGACCTTCGGTCAGACCTTCGTAGTGCTCAACGCCTCCTATGTCGCCTTTCTCGCTTCGATATTCTCACATTCCGAAGGCCTTGCCCATCCTCATCTTACATTCCCCAACATTGATGTTACTATAATCAGCAAAATTATAGGTGGTGTAATCATTCATTCTAGTATGGATTTCCTTATCTCTCTCATCCTAAGCATTTCCCCGAATCCTCGGAGCCTCTCATAACCTATTTCCCCTACAGACTCATCTTTCCAGTAAGGTTAGTTCGCAATACTTTCGCGTTAGGTATTTAGCTTCGGGTAACACCAACAATATCCTGGATGGTGTTAAGGGCGCTTCGAAAGCCTCGGGTGTCCTTGCAGTATAATGCTAAGACGAAATAATGGGAAAGTACGAAGAATACGCATAAATTTGGACGCTCTTGGGTGACTTTGACTTGGGATACGACCTTTTGTAGTATGAATGATTTTGTGAAATTTCTTGAAATGTCAATGTCTATATGGTGAGGTCAGGAAGTCGTTCCTACCTCTAATGTACTCCTATCTATCGCACTTACCACATTTGCAAGGTCTCCAAGTCGAAGTTCTGGTCTTTAGCCTCCTCCTTAAGACTCTTCCTCTCATTCACATTTCACTGATCCTCGATGTAACATTACGCTTTTACCTCCAATCCGTCATCTAGCATTCCTATCCCCCTAATGCCAAATACGAACGAACTGACTGAGGATAATTTGCGACGGTCCCAGCAATACTCCCCAGACCAGCTGACCGAAGACAATGTGCGTCGCTTCGAGCAAAATTCTCCATACCAAAGACCCTCATATTACGTGTCCTGTCTTCGACACTCGAGCCCTACATATCCAACCTCGCTTTCTTCTCGGCATCGTTTATTCGCGCCAGCTTCAACGCTTGAGCGACTCTCCCACCTGAATACCAAGATCCACTCTTCTCGCCTCTGGGGTCTCCGGCGAACGTCTTCTCTTCCGCAGCATCCTTACCACAGCAACGACACCCTTTCATCGCTTTCCGTACAAGCGCCCGAGTCGGATAAGAGCATACCGCAGGCCCAAGCGTCACCAGGTTCGCATATAAACTACTTTCTCAGGCACCTCCACCGTCCTGGCTCCCCTTCGTCCTTTTCCGCCCAAGCTGGAGCTTCCGAGTCAGATACAAGCTTGGTGCGAGCCCCAACTCCACAATGCCCGGAAACGAACTATATTCTAAAGTTCCACCTTCAATCTGGGCCAGACTCCGACCTTGACGTTGTCCGTATTCTGTCCTGCCCAGCAAGCGCCACCTTTTACGATCTTCACAAGGCACTACAGATCGCCTTTGGGTGGAGAGATTATAATTTGTACAATTTCACCATCGGAGATCCAATATATACAGGAGATGACGCTCAGGCTCCAATTTCTCGGAATTGCAGGCTCCTGACGACGGACTGCAGCACATGCAAGGATAGCCAACCCCCGCCAAAATGTTCGTTTCGAATCTACGCTAGTGGGCTGCAGGATTCTTGGTTCCAAATGGGTTCTTCCTTCCGGGGGAATAATCCGAAGCTAGACACTTCAGCAGATATGGTGCAATTGTTCCACGTCTTCGAAGACCCCAGGAGTCTTGCAGGTTAGTCAAGTGCCGTATTCTTCCATGCTACATTTTCCTCCTCTCAAACATACTAATCACATTTTGACCAATAGTAATGAGCATGGAGTATACACACTTGCACCATACCGGCAGATGGTGGAGGCACCACATGACTCTCCAAGGGATCGCGAGCTTAACAGAGGGAATACGTTGTATGGGTGGTGGTGGACATGAAGTTGTCGAGGGCATAAATTGCCAGGACTAGCGACTGCTTGTCCGGGCTTATCATACAAATAGAAAGACCGAAGTGACGGGTGACGAGCTCTCTCATTCGCCGAAACGTCAAAAGAAGGGTTTTTGAAAAAAGGATGGGAGAATGTGTGGAGTATGGAGGGCATCAATGTGAGGCTGAAAGGGTCCGTTTCACCTTCTGCAATTGAGTGCGTTCTATAGGCTTGCTCTATGGGTGGTAGATTGCAGCTCCGGGATCGTTGACGAAATCGATCACCCTGTTTCGATTTTGTACCGTTAATTTCCTAGACTGTCTTTTGGCTTCTTCCTTACATTTTCTGTGCATGTATTATCATCCGATTTTCCTCGCAAACTTTTGTATTATCCCTCTAATAAGCTTGCAAGCACCCTAATAACTACATATACCTTACATAATTTTCTCTCGATGTAATTAGATAACGCTCACCAACAGCTTCAATATACACTATCTTCGTCCTTGCTTCCAATCTTAATTGCCAAGCGCAGTTCCACCCAAATGATTCTCTGGATACTTATGAGGTAGCTTTGTTGGTGGGATCTGAACGAAGCTTCACGCGTATATGACGTCCTTCGTGTAGCACACGCACCTTGTGTATTTAATCGAAGACTAGGATATTCGCTTACAGTCAACTTGATTGTCGTCGTCATCAAACCAGAAAAAGGCACTAGCATCAGCATCGCGGCCCTTCGACGTCAGCAGCACCCCACACGGCTCTGGATCCAGATAGAAAACTAGCATAGGCCTGGATTACAATTGTCAGTTAAATCACTTCATCAAGCCCACCCCGAATCCCCTGCCCCCACTACCCTGACCCCAGTATCCCAATCCCAATCTCAAGACCGCACACCCACCAACTTCCAGCCTTTCCAGGGTACATCACGATCAAACCACAGACACGCGACTAGAAGATGCCAGAGTTATCGACCACCTTGGCTGATATTAGAGACAGGAAGGAGTGGAAGGAGGTATGAGTGAAGAAGCTGGCGGCGGAGGGGAAACTGGGGAATTTGATGCCGGAAGGTATGTTTTCATGGGGACACGGAACTGAGGAAAGGGGAAGGAAGTGTTGTGTTGAGGATGGGTAGAGGAGTGGAAGGGGGATATCTTCATCAAGCGCGACATACAAGATCGGCCTAAATCAGTTTTATAGATGCCATTTCGCATTTCTGAATCTCATATCGCGTGAGTCAGCTCCCTCAAATCCGCACTGCATACAGCTAATCTTGGTCCCACCCACCACAAATAAGAAAGCTCTACCAAATCCGCCATCCAGATCAAACCTCCTCTCAAAGTAAAATCACCCCAACTCCAACTTTTCCCCGCACCGCTAAACATGCAAAGAAAAAGACAGTCAGTCCACTTGCCTTACCAGAAACGATTACACAGCATCAGTAACACACCCATGACTCGCATCCTTCACAAACCTCGCATACTTAAACAGAGTCCCCTTACTATACTTCAACGGTGGTGCAGTCCATTCCTTTCTCCTCTGTGCCAACTCCTCATCACTAACATTAAAATTCAACTCTCTCGATTCGGCATCAATAGTAATTACATCCCCATCACGAACCAGCCCAAGCGGCCCACCTTCTTGCGCTTCCGGCACAATATGCCCAATCAAGAAGCCATGGCTGCCGCCGCTGAAGCGACCATCCGTTAGCAGCGCGACGTCTTGCCCAAGCCCGGCGCCCATGATGGCAGAACTAGGTTTGAGCATTTCAGGCATGCCCGGGCCGCCCTTTGGGCCTTCGTAACGGATTACGACGACGGTTTTCTCGCCTTTTTGGATTTCTCCGTGCTCGAGCGCGGAAATGAAGTCGTCCTCAGCATCGTAGACTTTTGCTTTTCCGATGAAACGGAGGCCTTCTTTGCCTGTGATTTTGCCGACGCAACCGCCGGGCGCGAGATTGCCTCGCAGAATTTGGATGTGACCGGTTGGCTTAATGGGATTGCTCAAGGGGCGGATGATGTCTTGATCCGCGGGGAAATCTGGTGCGTGCTCGAGGTTTTGCTTTAGGGTTTTGCCGGTGACGGTTATACCACTTCCATCAATGATGCCTTCTGCGAGGAGGAACTTCAATAGAGCTGGGGTTCCGCCAATGTTAAAAATGTCTGCCATGACGTACTTGCCTGAGGGCTTGAGGTCTGCCAAGAAAGGTATCCGGTCGCTTACACGTTGGAAATCGTCGATGGTAAGGTCGATACCGACAGAGTCTGCAATGGCGATGAGATGGAGGACGGCATTTGTCGAGCCTCCAGTGATGTTGACGACAACCATGGCGTTCTCAAAGGCTTGGCGGGTGAGGATGTCTTTTGGTCGGATATCTTCTTTTAGGAGGTTTCTGATTGCTCCACCTGCGGCACGGCATTCTAATTGTTTAGCCTTTGAGTTGGCGGGGTTTGAAGAAGATCCAGGGAGCGTCATGCCCATGACCTCGAGGGCGGTGGCCATGGTGTTGGCGGTGTACATGCCTCCGCAAGCGCCTTGGCCGTTGCAAGCATGCCTGATGATGTCGAACCTCTCTTCTTCGTTGATTTCCCCAGTTATGAATTGACCGTAGGCCTGGAACGCGGACACAATGTCGATTGACTGGTTTCCCAGGGTTTTGGCGCAACCTGGTTGAATTGTGCCGCCGTAGACCATGAGAGAAGGGCGGTTGACACGTCCCATAGCCATGATAACCCCAGGCATGTTCTTGTCGCATCCGGGGATCGAAATATTCGCATCGTACCACTGACCACCCATGACCGTCTCAATCGAGTCGGCAATGAGGTCTCGCGACTGCAGCGAATACCGCATGCCTTTCGTGCCCATGGAAATGCCGTCGCTGACGCCAATGGTGTTGAATTGCATACCGAGCAGCCCCGCCTCCTCCACACCCTGCTTGACCTTGTTGTTCAAGTCTAGCAGGTGCATATTGCAAGGGTTGCCCGTATACCAGATGGACGAGATGCCCACCTGGGCTTTGTTCATGTCGTTCTCGTCCATGCCGGTGGCATACAGCATGGCCTGCGAGGCGCCTTGCGACTTCGGCTGAGTAATAGACTTACTGACTGAGTTCAGCTCATTGTCGGCCTTTATCAAGCGGGTTGTAGAGCTTGACAGTGCTCGTCTGCATAGTATTAGCTTGTAGCACGGGTTATGTGGGGATGCTTTTGAGCGATTGACTTACGCCTGCGGCCATTGCAGGCGCGGCGGGAATTTTACACGACCCAAGGCAGCTCCGAAGCGTGTGAGAGACATGGTCGTGGGCTGCCCGCTCTGTCCAAGTCGCAGCTCGATATTTTATGCCCACCACCGGAGGTTGCGGTGAATCCACCGACAGGAAAGAAGTGCGATGGCTTGGCAGGTTGTTGGCCAATCAGACGACATCGCAGTCAGGTCTGTCCCATCGGAGCCAGAACCTAACCCTATTGTTAAGCCTTCCCCCAGAGCTTTGGGTTCTCTCCTGCCATCGCCAGTACCCAGTACTTTCATCACACGGCTAAGCCAAAGCGCCCCCATAAACATAGTCATACCTCAAGCCACGCTGTCAATTCTCACGAATCTATGTATATCCGTCCCGGCCATAGAGTTTCGAGTTAGTAGCTTAAAAGATATAGTTGACGTAATCCTTCCTCACTTTTATCCGACCAACACTCCCATTAGAAGCAATCTACCGCTGTTCTCGAAGGCAGGATTTCGTTCTTCTCCAAGACTGAGCGGTACCCAAGGATCCTCTTTCTTGGCTTCTTCTACTACTTAAATGGTCACAATGACGGTTTCTGATTGCGTTACAATTTTCGAAATGGTTAATAGAAACTTCATGCCAATTGCCATGAATATTCTGGGCCCGGATGGGAAGTGCGCGGATCCGCCGCCATATGCTCCCGGTGCTACAGCTCACTTCCGCTAGGAATGATTCTGCCCCTACACCTGAAAGGAGTATTCTGCCTGTTCCAGCAATACCTTCTACGGTCGCTCTGGAAGTGCCTTCTACGTCCGCGTTTGAAACAACTACAGTAACCGCTATTGATTGATACATTACAGTTACTGACGTAGACAGTGGTCACTTTGTTCCAGTTGCCATGAATCCACCTGGTCCGGGTGGAAAATGTATCCCTCCGCCACCTTACGTGCCGGTCCTACGAACATCATTCCAGCAATTATCCCTTAACTCGATCCAGGTTCGGCAAGCCTGCCAATTGTCCCCACGTATCTAGACCTCAGCAATGAGTTTCACTGTTTTGGGTCTGCCCGCAACTCCTCAGAGCATTATCGTACCACTGCCAGCAATGGCATCTTCGCACATTCCGGCCCCTCTGTCGCTTGTCCATCCACCCCCACCTCCCTCCCTACCTCTCTCCCTCCCTTCGACAATCCCGTCATCCTTTACCCCTCCTCCCGGCTCACCACTACCTATTTCCGCTCCAAATCCTCAGCCGCTCCACCTCCCCCTCTGCCTCCTCTTCTACTACTACCTACTCTACCTGCCCAACCGTCATCCACACCCCTATTCCAACCCCCACCTCCGCAACCAGTCTACCCCTTGCTCCTGTGCCTACACCCCTACTCCCCCACCTCTCCCTCCAAATACCTACAACCACCATGCCATTCGGCATGCCCATCCCCGCAAATCATGTGCCTCCACTCCCAGTCCCTACATTTACCTTAAGCTTCGGCCACGCACCTCCTCCCAAGGCCATATCCCGTCAATCCAACTACTGTTTCCGCCAATGATTAGGAAATTTGGCCACAATATCCCGCCACCAGTTGAGCCAGTAGATGAAGTGTTTAATGCGCCGAGGCCGATGTCGATGTTTCATGCTAGTCCGCGCCGAAGAGTTGCATGGAGACAGTGAATGTGTTTCCAATGGCCATGAAAATGCATTAGAATAACGTTATATGGCAGAGGGAAGGAGATTGACGTAGTCGGTGGCAAAGTCGGGAGGAGTAGTGCTGGAGATAGGAGTTGGTAAAAAATTTAATTGGGTGCTTATAGTGCTTTGAATTATTGATCTTCCTTGAGCTTCCCGCTGCAATCCTTCCCATAGGAATTCCTCTTCCTTTCCCAACCCCTCCCTCAACTCCCCATGCACATTCCTTTCATCAACTCCTCCTGCGAAGTGTCACCGCTGCTCTAGAACCGAGAAAGTAGGACCTCAATGCCTTCAAGGATGCGGACTCCTACACATCTCTTAAGTTCAATCGCAAAGGTAGTCTTAATCTTACACCGGACCCCACACTGCCATTGCGCACCCCCTCCCGCCTCTCCAGGCATAAGCATCAGCTGTTTACTGTCGAAATCGTGGGGTATATAGCTAAGCTCAGCGCCGTAGTGTCGTAGAATTGCCAAGGCTTCCGAGAATGAGGTGATTGAGATGGCTCGGTCGTCGAATACGCGAAACTTTGAGCTAGAACCATGTCTGGATTGGTGAAGCAGCTTTTCCAAGACCGATGGATATCCCCCCTCCTACTCCCCTAATTCAGGTACAGCGAGGCCTTGTTCTAGCCGTATGAAGTGCTTGACAGTCATGTCCTCCGAAGATCGCAGTTAGTGGTTTTGGCATGTTGGTGGTGAAGGGGAAGTGGAAGTGGAAGTAAGGTGGGAACGAAATTGAGTGAAAGGGAGGTGAAGTGAAAGCGAAGGTGAAGAACTCACCCGTTCGCGTAGCTGGCTAGCTTTTTGAAACTGTCTTAGCATGTTACTGTGAGACATATTTTGAACTATTGCACAACACTAAGATATAGGTGAAAGGTCAGAAGGACTCGCATGCGAGTTAAAGTACTAGCATATAAACGAGATTGTTTAACTATGAGTACTGTTCTATTTGTATGTGGTTTTTGAAGTTGTGAATGAGCCCCTTGCCTTGGGGTACCACCGTTTGATTCTCTAGATGATATGTGCATGACTCCCACACGACGGACTCCAAAGTTCGTGTGCTGTTAGAGGAGGTTTTCGGATGACACCGCAGTAGCATTGATATCAGTACATGATGGATGAAAGGATTGGCGTAGTACGGTCGTGCTAGTTAGAAAGCGGCATCGAGGGCACGAATAGTGTGCCACCATGTGCCTTCATTTGTTTCCATGAAGTGCAAGAGGTCAAGAAAGGAGCTCGAAGGTGATTCAACGCTGTCTAGGAAGTTCAAAACTCGAAAGCGGCTGCCTGACGTCTCCTCGACTACTTCCTCATCCAGAGTGTGGATCCTTGGCAAACAGCCCACCTCACCGTCTTGCTTCAATCAGAGAACAAGGATAATACCAGAGAGGTGAAGTTAATGTATTGGTAATAATAGTTGCAGGAATGCGGGTGGGGTATAATACCAAACACATATATCCAACCTGGTATTGAGAATGACAAAAATTGCGGGCTTAAACCCCACCAAAATCGCCAAAACAGCCTCGCCATGTATGAGATAGGAGAGATAGGACACCGTTTGAACAAAACATCAGAACCGGTCAAGGTAGCTCCTGTTTAGCAGGGGCTTTCGTGGGGCGGAGGAGGAACTATCAGATGTATAATCAAATCTAGAGTATCGTTGATCAACGACACAATCCGCAGTGTTAATCCTCGGGATTCGAAGTAAGCTCAGTCATCCTTCTTCAAGTAATTCACCAAATCCACCATCTCAGCTTGCGACATAGCTGAGCTCATAGCTCGGTATGCTTCGAACAATATCCACAGCGGGAAGATGACCCAAAGCATGTTGAAGAAGGTGAGGTAGAGCCAACTGAAGTGAATTAGCATTTTCCGTTCTCCATTGGTATTTGTACCTTCGGTTGTGTGGGTCTGTGGATCCGGGGTATCGAAAATGGACTGCTGGGAGATTGAAGTGTATTCGGGGATATGTGATGGGGTGAGTGAGTCATGGATGGGTATAACAATTTGTGGGTCGAACTTATTCGATGGAGGACACTGAACAGAAATCCGGAGAAAATGGGCCTCCAAACGTTGATGGCGTGAATAGGGATGACGATGAATAAGGATAGCGAATCGCATATGCTAGCAAATTGGCATATGCGAGCAGGGGCGGATTCGAGAGTGGAACACGTGGAGGACTGAGAAACCATGCAAAGAAAATACGCCCACTTACAGGTACATCCAATTCGAGGTGTCGAGATTTGGCGAGCCCGTCAACCATTCGGGGGCAAAAGTCATGAACCCTAAGCGGTGAACCATGTGTCAGCTGAGCTCGCGTATATCATATCCCATCTTCGTCCCAACGGCACCAGGCGTCGAGGCCTAGACGGAGGGACACGTACCTCCGTATAATTCCCCCGTCGCCAGCAAGCACATCCAAAACCACCTCTTCAGCACGCCCTTCCTTTCCTCCCGTCTTAGCAGCTCACAAATCCAGATGCACATTGGCACCCCGATAAAAACAGTCAGAAGCTCGAGACTGACAACCGTCAAGTCCACGCCTCCCCACCGCTTGTCCGCCTTCGCATACTCCTGCCACAGCCTACTAAACGGGCCTGTACCATAATTGGCACCGTACAAGCGATCTTCGGCCCCGAGCCAGTACACGTCAGGCGGGGTGAGGAGGCGGATGTGGGGATGGTGCCGCGTCGTGACAGAGAAGGAAGTCGGGAGCGAGTAGGACACGAAGAAGCAGTTGTAGAGGAAGGAGCCTTCGAAGACGAGGTGGATTAATGCGTCAAAGAGGTGCCAGACGAACAAGATTCGCGTTTTGATGGTTGCAGTAGAAGGCAGAACCTTGACAGATGTGCCATACGCGCCACCGAGTACAACAGCCACAGCAAGAAGTGAGACTATGGTTGTAGCATCGATTTGCGCTCCCTCACGAGGAATGGGTGGTGGAGGGTGTGCCTTGGAGAAGGCTGAGCCGCGAGCCATTGTTGCACGCGGGCACTAGAACTCGGTAGATACTTGACCGAGCTGCTGCGCGGACAGGCGTCAACGGCGCGTCGGTGGGTGAATGGTTTGGGGAAAGAGCACTGAAGCGAGAAAGTTTGAGGTGGGAGAGAGTCCAATTGTCGTGTCCCAGTTTCTGGAGACCCTGCCACAGTAGGCGGTGTGCGCCAGCAGAACCCGAACACTGGTCACATGGACCCCACGATCGTACGACTTGGGTCATCGGCTTCAATTGCGGCGAAAAGGGTTCTTGCAATGCTATAAATCATACATAGGCGGGGTCTGCACTGTTATTTGGTTTGTTGAATGTTTTCTTTGGCACTGCTAAGTACAGATGAGCCAGCCATATCCATTCCCAAGATCAACCACCCAAACTAATGAAATAGAGAAATACCGTCAACACCACAAGCAAGCCATGAGTACGTGTGCGGAACGGAAAGGGACACCTCGTGAGAGACACTGGCCCTAGGACTGGCAATCTGAAACCACCCATGCAAACTACACGCAACTTCGTCGACTCCACTTGCTCGCATTCTCTGCCGTTCCTACCGGCTATGTACGGGAACAAAGGTTCCTAATAATAAGGAGAACACCAACCACTGGAAAATGCAAAGCACGCCAAACACTTTTCCATCCCACCCATTGGAAGCAAACGAAATGAATGAAAACTGCGCCAAAAAAGAAACCTGAGAAGAGCTGGAGGAAGAATCATTACAACCACTCTATAGAATGAAAAGATCACTAGGAGATAAAGTAAACCGAGGAGTTCCGCCTAACCCTCCCAAACGCCGCCTTAAGACAACATGCAAAGAACCATCCGGGAAATGCAATAAAGGAGGCCATCCCGGAAATGCTAGAAGGAAACGTGACAGCCTCCCGTTGTCCCATGGAAAGTGCCACAGCGAGGAATATCCGTTGGTGAGCACCACTTCACCGTTTCGGACCGCATTGAACAAGACTTGTGAGCGCTCGAGGTGTCCCAGCTCGCCAGGAATCAGGCCTCTCCGCTCCACTTCGTCGTAGATCAAGTCAGGTCGTGACCGTGTAATCGTGACCAAGAAAATTTGTCATATCTGAGCAACTCGCCATCCATCGTCGTTTCTTCGCTCAAACCGCCACTTGCCGCTACACACAGGCCTGGGGGGTGTGCGTTGGCTCTGGGAAAATGCTACCGTGCATGTTGTAGCCATACTTGAAGGGGGAGGTCCTAAGATCTTCGGGGCCTGATCCAGTCATCGGACCGGGAGATGTCGATCGGGATAAAAAGTGGTTTGGGCTTCTGGACGCTGACCTTAGGTCGTTGGCGCCATCAACCAGTTGAGACATGGTAGGAGAAGGGGGACTATTTGATGCAGAAGACTGATTGCTTCCAGATGAACTGTTCAGAATGTACTCCGTCGTCCCATCGGTGTGGGCGGTTTTGGTTGACGGAGTAGTTGCTTTCGGAGAACCCTTACCAGTAGGGGTGCCAAACTGGAACGACAATTAGCATCGGATTAGGCCTTTCCGCCGGAATAAGTTGCACGTACGAAACAAAACTTCTGAATCAACTCATTGTACTCCGCCGATTGAAGGTCCGGTTTCTCCGAAGACAAAGCATCTGGTCGAGTTCCGGGAACAGGAACAGCAGGAATGGACTTCATCGGGGTTGCGTGGTTCTTGTGGAAGTAGCCGTTATGGGCCTTTTCGACGTTGTTGGCTTTGATGCCGCTTCGGTCTCCAAGGGCAGTTTGAGCATTCGACAGGGCAGCAGAGAGGGAAGCACCGAAGTCATAGCGTGTGGAAAAGGCCTGTCCACCAGGGTTCCGGCGAGGAGCTTGGTCCGGGAAGAGGCTTCCTCGTTTACCCTTAGGCTTGAGACGAACTGAAGAACTGGGCGAGTCTCGAATGATACCCCGAGAACCGAACTCGAACTTGGAGTCGAAACCATGGCCGAAGTCGTCATCAAAAGATCCAGCTGGCATAGAACGAGGTCGTGGGGCGGGGGGAGAGTGTCTGCTTCGTGGGATGACGCCCAAGGTACCAGTACCAGGTCCCTTTCCCTTCTGGTTAGTTTTCTTGATGAAATCAACTTGATAATTCATAGACCCATTGTTGTCCCAGTACTCTTGTCCGTTGACATTATATCGCACACAAAGAAGCAGCGTCTTCGATGCCAAGTTTGCCTGGTCAGCCAGTTTGATGTTGAAGTTGAACCGATCGTATCCATCGTTCGTCTGCTTCTTCCGAACGTCCTGATTGAACTCAGCAACGACTTCTGAGGTTGTCTTCCAGTAGTCGAGAGTAAAGCGAGCCACGACAAGCTTGTGGAAGGCAAGGTTGGCAACAGCAACGTTGCCCACTAATGTCTTATGATCTGACGCCAGGAAGATTCGGTCCACTCTAACCGGCATAGTCTTCCGCTCAAAGGTGTCGGACGGGAAGTTAGCAAGTTTGATTTCCCACTCAGGAACACTTGGCTTGTAGCCCTCATCGTAGCCAAAGGGATACTCAGACTCGCTGTCATAAGTCTCCACTGGAGAAGATCCAGCACTGACGGCGATAGGACGATCAACCTGGAGGAAGTGCCGCACCTGCTCAATATCTTCGTTGAAGTGGACGGCCTTAGAGTACGTTGGAGTTCCAGGCATGCTCGAAGGCCTTCGACGAGACGAGGGCCGAAGGGCAGGCTTCACCAACTCACCAGACTTCTTGCGGAGAAGAGGCGGTTTTATCCGCAGCTCGTCATCCTCGACATCGCTGCCTTCAGAAGAACTGATGAGTGGCTCAGTGTGAAGTGGTGTCACAGCATGTTTAGACAGGGTTATCTCACTCGAGGACCGAGAGTGAGATATCTTCCGTGCCTCCGCCGAGAGCGACCGAGCAAGTGGGACGGGAGGTGTCGAGGTCGCTGTGTTGGCTGGGGTGTCCGAAGTGCCATCACGGTTGGGTGAATGTCCCCTCTTGACATCGATGTGTTGCAGTGCTTCCTGGAGCTCTTTTAGGTTGCCGAGATCACGACCCCGCTCTTCGTCGTCGTCTGAGGAATCAGGGGGCGTTGTGATGGCACCTGACGGAATCAGAAGATTGTTCACAGGGGGAGGAGACTGGCGGAGGCTACCATTTGTAGACGGGCCAGAGCCTGGGCGAGCTTCCGAAGAAGTTATTACGTTGCTGGTCGGGGGCTGTCCATTTGCGGTCGTGTTGCTGGCCGTGGAGATGGAGGGCGAGCGACGGTGCTTATTCAAGTACGAAGTGGAGGAGACGGAGCGAGGCAGCGCCGGTCTCTGGAAGTGGGCCGGCGAGAGCGGGTACTGCTCGCTATAGGAATGGTTGCGACTGATGATAGGGCTGTTTGGCTTCGAGGTTGCAGGGGAGCGCTGGGTGGGTGGAGTGTAAGGCATTCGGTCGACTTTGTAGGGTCGAGGAAGCGGATCGAATGGACAGTGGTTGGTTGCTGGTCAACGGGTCCAGGGCATTACAAAGGAGGGTATTAAGAGAGAGGGGGGGGGTTCTGCGGGGTGGCAGTCAGTTGGGGTGCTCAGTACAGTGTGTTGTGCGGGGGGGGGGTTAGAGGCGTAGACGGGGCAAGATAAGGGCGATGGCGAAATGGCGAGATGGCGAAATGGCGAAGGTATCTGACTCAATCACGCATTGGCGATGGCTGACTGAAGCAAACTCACAGAAAATAACGTGAGGGAGCTGCTCCGAGGGAGCTTGGCTCGAGGGCACTCGTAGGTGAAGGGTCGCGAGGCCGTCGGTCTTTCACAGCTAGTCAAAGCTGTGACGTCGAGGTTCTGCGGACACACAAGGCTCGTGAGGGACTGGCGAGCAGTCGGGCAGACAATGGTGAAGGAAAGTCTGAGGGAAGGCGAGGCCGGCGGCTTCCGTAGATACAGAAGGGGCTCTCTGCTGCTCCCGGGTGAGGCAGGTGGACTGATACTGATATGCACCGTCGAGGCTGCCGGGTGGTGGTTGATAAGCACGCCTGAGGGCCGTTGATGTCGAGTCCGACTCAATGGCAACGGGCAGGGCGTGTATATAGAAGGGGAGGCTGGCCACGGCCTGTTAATTGTTGGAGGGAGGAGGAGTAATTGTGTTGGGAGGACAGGGCGGCGACTATTGGGACGGCCGAGCAGCGCTTTTGGGATGCTCAGCGAGCCGGGATGGTCGATAAAGTCGATGGACGCCTGGGCTGCACGTCCCCACCACAGCAACCAAAGCCTGCTGCACCAATGCAGAAGCGAATTAATGGCTTGACCGGCTTGCAGCAGTGATCCACCCCAACAGGCCGGGATCGCAACCAAGGATTTGCGCGCAGCGAACGCAGACGCGGGCCAAGCGGCAGCAACCGGCTCTGGGCAGACTGGCACACTGACACGCAGGTGGGGACGGGTGACAAAGGGTGGAGGTGGAGAGCAAACGGTACGCAGGTAATCAATCAATTGAATCAGCACCGCGGCCGCCGACGGAGCTGGAGGAGCAAGGAGCAGGTCGAGCCCAAGTACAGCAGAGAACCTTCTTCTACTTTGCCTCCCGGGGGGGGGGGGCGTCGCGGGCATTACTCTTATGTCTATCTCTCATGCCAGACTGGCCAAATGTCCTGACCGCAGCAGAACCGCCGCGACTCGAAACAGTGGAACAAAGCTCAGCAACATTCCATCCATCAGCAGCGCAATCCTGCTGCTCTGGCGGGTGCGCAGCGGACCCAAAGACCATGGCATGACCGCGAAGCCAGTATCAATTCCCCATCGGCTGACATATACGAGCTGTTGCGATAAGATTATTCAACCTCCATACCTGCTGCAGTTGGGCAGATTGCAGGCGGGGCTACTTGCGGCGAGTGAGAGCGGAAGTCACAAAAACTGTTACTTTTTGCAGCCGTTGCATGGGCGTGATGGGCTGCTTGCGAACAGGAGAGATTCCAAGATGCGAAGCCACCCACGGGCTGCGGCGCCCGCCCACACACGACGCTCAATGCGGCCACGCCAAGCCGCCTGAAGAATGACATCATGAGCGCGGCCACCTGCCACGCCGAGCTTCAATTCATCCACCGGCGTGCGCGCGCTCGAACGACAAAAATTTTCTCTGTGAATGTTTCGCAATGTGGCCAGTCGAGCAGCATTGGCGCGGATGTGTGTCTGAGAAGGTGAGGGCGAGGGTGAGGACGATAAGGATGCGGCGCTGCGCTCCTTTGTGGTCGCCTCCCTCAGAAAATTTCCCCTCCTCCCGCTGCTAAACTTGGCGAACGGTGGCGAGAAATCGGGACAAGATCGTCGTTGCGCAAAAAGGCGGTCGGTGAACAGTCCAATTAGATGTCTGTGGCTCGAGCGCGCTAACTTGTATCCCTGCCGACCGTTCTCGCCTCTTGTGGATGCTCCAAGCGAGCAGTCAAACCATCCAAGCGAACCGTCGCACGGCGCCCTCGACAACTAATAGTCTAGCCTCACCTCCGCGACCAGGCCCGTTTTAAGCCAACTCGTCCTGTACACGTCGGTGCTCCCGTGCTGTTTGTTGCTGTGGAGTGCGGAGAAGACAGCGCGGTGGCGGCTCCCCTTCTTGCGCGTCTTGAAATGAGTTGCTCCCGGCCTGCGTCGAGACATGAAACTCGGCACCCGGCCTGTGGGTGCATACTAACGCTGACAACTCCGCCGTGTCCGCGATGCTCGGCAGCCTAGCAGTGCGGACACAGTCTCCTCTCCGTTATTGGTTCCAGATCCCAGGTGTTGTGCAGTGTGAGGGGCTTCACTACATTTCCCCGCATTATGTATCAATTGCAGGACATGCCCACTGCTGCATGTAACTCATGACTCCCGACACGCGAATGCTAGCTCAGTGTCTGAGGTGGACAGACGTCTCAACACTTGAAGCTCGTCTCTAGGCCGTTGCGGACCCCCGTTTTGGAGGATAATGCCAACCTGCTCGCCGCACAGATTGCGCGCGGCTACCTGCAGTCGTATCTCTGATGATGGGCTGATGAGGTGCGGGATGTTTCGAGTCCTCCGCGTGTAGTGGCTGAACCTAAATTTATTTTCACCAACCTCAGGTGAGCCTGACTGCGACGCCCGCCTGCCTTTGAAAAGGGTCTTTATCACAACGGTTTGCTACGATTTGTCGACGGCCTTGATAATCTCGATTTCATGCAACATCGCGTCGAAACATAGTCACGGAGGATGCGGCAGCTACTCAATGTGCCTCGAAGTTCTTCCAGACCGACTTCTCAAATTCCCATGCCCGAAATGGATTCGTCCATCTTGCCTGGCGTCTTGAAACACCTTTACGAGCCTCTCGTGCTTCGCCGCGCGACTTGCTAACGGCATCAAGGACTTTCCGCCAAGATTTTGAATGCGAAACTGGGGTGTTCTGTCGGACTTTCCCACGCGGTCCAAGCGTGCTGCATGTCTCCACTTTGCACTGCAGCCAGACGCTTTTCTTCCGGCAGAATGGCGGTGCTTCAGCCACTGATATGGGACGGATGCCATGTCAGCCTCACCGCCCGCCTGCTTTAGCTAGACTACCATCTCGACGCTACCGATCTCTTTTTGGAGGGGCGATCGTGATGAGGATGATCTTACCAGCCTCGGCCAAGAAACCCAGCGAGAGACATGAGGCTAACGGCCATCGCGACCCACAAAGCTGCAGCGAAGACGACGCGGCTGAGGGGTGCATGTACCGGAGCGGTATCAAGGGCTTCTCATTCAATACGGCGTCAAGGAGCAATATTACTTTCGCCCTCTCATGCTTCTCTGCAGCACCCACAACCTTAGACGTCATTACATGAACTGCCTTGACGTAGTACAGACAAGCTCAGCCAAAAAGGGCTTAATTCAAGCCACCCCGGATTAATGCAGCTCCTCAAAGCAACCCATCTCTCTCCAGAGTACACGCGGACTACGGCCGCTCAAGATACGGTGACCTGGGCTGCTCGTCGTGTGACTTTGGACCCGCTAGACTCTGTGAGTGGTAAAATCATGACATTCTCGGAAGTTCTGCGGAAAGCAGGAATCGCATCAGGTTATTTCCTCTCGACAATGGTAATTGCCATGACTAGAGCATCTTCTGACGATGTATCCCCAGCAAGTAGTGGGCAAGCATTGCCTGCTGCAAACCTCGGAACCACTGCATCCGTGCGACGGCGAGCAGTCAATTTGCATCGTGCGCTGAATTTAATGTCTCGTGTGTTCGTCGAATCGTGTGCCTTCCACATAACTGTCCAAGCGAATGCACGCCGCGAGTCCGAATCGGGCTGGCGCAAAGGCCATGGTTCACAACCACTTTGCGGGGTATACAGGCCCAAGTCGTTCCGGATGCGATGCCTCCCTCACCAGCTCACAACCTGTTGAGATTACCTCCTCTCTCTCCCTCGTTGTCCTCAGATCAGATGACCACCTTGCTCGTCAGCCGTGCTGCACGCTGGATATTCAAACAATCGCGTCGTTTAGTTGTCACCGCTCAACCAGCAAGGCGCCCGTCATGAGGGATGCCCAAGGGGTGAGTACAACACCAAAGAATCTCTCAAAATCCTGTTTTTGAGGCACCATTTCTGCACGTGTGGCGCCACCACAGCCCTGCGACAAGGCACAATTCCTGGGGAGGACTCAATTGATCCCTTCCAACGAGCTTGTCCGATTCCGCAATTCTTGTTTCGATCTCACTCTGATGCAGGCACCAAGCGGCACAGGCTAGGTGAGGAAATTGGATTCAGACGACTGAGCCGCAGCAGAAGCAAGTAAATGCCAGGTTGCGTGATAGCAATTTTCTGGAAACAGAGGATTCGACAGCGCCTCGTAGTGTCACACTGGCATGTTTCAATTTCATCGACTTCACTTTGGAGCGTCCTAATCACACACTTCTCTCAGGAGCGAACTACAAAAAGACTATAGGATAATTCTCACAGACTCCCCCGATTCGTACTTTCGCATCTCCACATCCATAGTAATCCTGCACCTTGCATTGATCAATCTTCAAAAACTGCAATAATATCATGGTGCACCATTTCAGATCGCGATAGATGATGTCAGTGGGGATGCATTCTTGATTTGGCTGGCAAAAGGAAATACTTCTATGCACGGAACCCGCGCAAAAGAATTGTTGGACGGTTGGTCACCGTTGTTCGGAGTCTTCTGTCAGCCCATTTCCGCGGGATCGGACGCCGCCTTCGTGCGCCCTTGGAGCGCCTTTTCTCAACGCCCTCCACGTCTGGCACACCGCTCCTCAAAGCCAAACAAGCAAAGATAAGGCTTCGACTTCAAAGTTTGCTAACGAGGAATTCGCTCGGGAGGGACTGCAGAGGCTTCGGAATTAGCTCAGCACTGTGTCCATAATCGACAGAGCCGTCAAAAGCCCGCGTGCGGTTTAATGGTCTTGCCTCCCACATCCCGCCTAAAACGGTAACAAGTAGACAACAATTCTTGAAGAATGGTCAGCGACAAGATTCTTGTATAGCATTGTAGAATCCAGAGGTATGATCAACCCGAATTACAAACCCCACGTCCTGCCTACGTACTACTATTACAACAACATCATGGCCTTCCTTTGGCTCCAACCCGTGGATATCCCTTCCGACATGTCAGTGTTAAACGCCAACGCCTAGGCGGCCTTTAACGTCCTCTGAAAGCGTCGATATTTTGAACGACGGAGTACAAGCTCTTTCAACGGGACGCTACCAAATCCGGAACACGATTGTCCGATCTGTGGCCACTGAGTTTCTGCTACCAATAATCAATTTTGAAGAAACTGACGGTTAAGAGTACGACTGATCTACCGCACAATCTTGGATCCAATGAGTTCCTGGGCGCACGAGAACGACCATAACACTAGAGAGGTTTGGCACGGCCCTTCGTCCTACAACATACTTTTTTTTTCCGGGCCAACTAGGCTTCTTCAAGTGTCGCACTGCACTTGGTGCGCTACTCATGGCACGTTTCACCCTTGCAACATTATTGAACAGCAATTCAGAAATTTTGGTTCCCAATAGCGCTTCCTCCTGTACCATTACCGGCGCGACAATGCTTTATGCACAGCTTTGCGCACGAAAAGTCTTTCTTCGACCCAGAGAAACTTCACAACATCTCCTCCCCAGAGCCACTACCAGGATATAATTAACAATAGATAGACACCTAACGCACAAGCCCAACTTGTACAGACCCAAACTTCAGAGGTCGACCCCATCCTCTCCATCTTGCGAGTTTAACCCATCCCAGCAATCCGATATTTAGCAAGCACCACTAGTCAATCACCACGACCCCTCCCATCTCCATCAACAGAATTCATGACATCAGGCCACATGAATAGCATCATCTCGCCGCTCTCATTGAAATAGAACGTTCACCAAACGACTCGATCTCATAGACGCAGGAAGGTAGCCAAACTTTCCGTTTAACAACGTGGCTGCAGATCAAATTGGAATGTCATCAACGGGGCCTGGGGTTCGCGGCTGCGATGCTGTGTAACACATCCATAAGTACGGGTCTGATAAGGCTACCTGTCATGAGTTGACAACACGAATCAAACACGAGCGAGATGCAGATGCAGGATAAAGGAGCTGTGTATCTGGGAACAGTTTGTAAACTTGGAGTAGTGATGGCAGCGACATCGCTGGCACACATGGGAGAGATATTGTCGCTGGTTGGTGTCGAAACTTGTTTGCATTTCTCTCCTCTACAGTATGCTC